TTATTAAAAGCAAATAATCGCATTTTAAACCAGAAATTATATATAGACAAAAAAACCATTACAAATGTATTGGCATGCACATAGTTGTTTGTTTGTTTAGATAGATAGATAGATAGATAGATAGATAGATAGATAGATAGATAGATAGATAATAAGCAAGTGAATTGCTGGGTCTGTAATTAATTAAAAGCAAATAATGGCATTTTAGACCATTCAAAACCCCTTTTTGCTTAAAAATTATTGAATAAACAGATGAATGAGCTCAACAATAAAGATATTTATTATTTTTAATATTTAGATTATTCAACCATCCATTTATTGGTACAAATTGTCATTCTAACAATTCAGGTTTCAAGTTTTTTAGGAACTCCTGATCATTCATGTAACTTCTTTGACAAAATACTTGGTTCATTTTTAACTTTAACATTTTTTTTGTCCTTGAGTTCTCATAGGTTAACCTGTCTGTCACGAGAGGACCCAAATTTGGGTCCTCTCGTGACAGGTTCCAGGGGTGTCAAACTCCAGTCCTCAAGGGCCTCTGTCCTGCAACTTTTAGATGTGCCTCTGCTGCACCACACCTGAAAAGAATAATTAGGTCATTAGCAAGGCTCAGGAGAACCGATCTACACAGGGAGGAGGTAATTAAGCCATTTCATTCCACTGTTTTTTACCTGTGGCCCATCTAAACTCTGCAGGACGGCGGCCCTTGAGGACTGGAGTTTGACACCCCTGTTGAATGACAACCTGAGACCAACAGGTTAATAATCCTCTTCTCAGCATCCCCTCCACCTATCTGTAAAATGGAGCTACTGGCCATTAACTCACCAAGAGTCAGATCATGCATGCTGATGTATACGACTATCTATTTATTTACTGTAATTTGAACTGGAAACAATATATTCTTTATTGAAAAGGGCACAAAAACTTTCAACTTTCCTGTACTGATGATGTTGACTTACTCTGATTGCCCAGTAGGTGGCAGAGTTTGGAGTAAATCATTAAAACATGAGCTGTAGGCTGTTCAGATTGTTCTCTCTAGGAAACGACAAGCTGCAGAATCATGATGCTGACGGCTGCTAAACTCAGATTTATCCAGAAACTTTCTGCATCAGCTGATCCAAACTTCACCTCAGTCTTCCTGTTGCAGCTGAAGTGGAAACTAGCCATGAGGAGGACTTTCCTCGTCACATTTCTCTACAAATGCAGCTTCCTGCCGTCTCTCTGTTCTGTCTAAATGTGCGTTGGGACTCCACTTCCTGTTGTTTGTTGACTCGTCTTCTCTGTAAACCTAAACTGAAGCGTCTGAGGGTTGAACCGCAGTTTTACTCTGATTCACAGACATGCAGAGTGAAAACCTGCATGTTTAAGGCCTAACTATCTGTGGACAGCCGTGTCCGCAGAGCCTGAGGAAACATTTACGCAGAGATGATTTAGTTCAACGTTTCCAGCCTGTTTCTGCGTTT